GTTTTTCAAATCCGAATTATCTAAATTCGGATTAATCCCGTAGTGTAGACATACCCTAAGGTTCCACAAGTACTCCTGTTCTTTTCTCTGACAGTGGGATTAGTTTGGAAATCTGTGATATAGCAATATTTTGTTTTTACCTCATTTTCCTTTTGTTTTCCCTGTGTATATTATTATTTAATTTTGTATGCTGCATTAATGCCAAATGGCCTCAATGAAGGGTCAGAGGCCTTTGTGCTAGGCACTATAGAAACAACACATAAAAATAGTTCCTGCACTAGAGAGCTCACAATCTAGGATTATGACAAGGAGCTACAAGTAAATAAGCAGACAAATGTGGAAAGGGCAGGAATGGATGTAACAGTACAAATGGGTGCATTTGCGTGAATCAGTAGTCTCTGGTTCTATAGTCAAATCATATACGAAGTAATGGTTTATGCTCTTTTTTTTTTTCAGATTTATACTCCCAAAGGAGGCAGTGTGTGAAGTGGATAGATTATTGCAGAAGGTAGGACACACAAGTTCCATTCCTACCTCTGACATTACCTTACTGAGTGACCTTATGTAAATCATACAAGGGCACATTTTCAGAATAATTTGGCTACTCTTTGGGCACCTAAATGTAATGGCCAGATTTTTTAAAGGGCTCTGCACCCAGCAGTTCCTATGCTTCTTTGCCTTGTGTGTCACCAGCAGAATTAACTATGTTCTCAGCGGGAGCTGGTGGGCTGAGCACTTTTGAAAATCTGGACATTTCATTTAGCCCAGATAGTAGTTGAACTCTTTTGAAAACCTGGCCATTAGCAGCTGCATACACATATTTTAAATTGTGCACACAAGTAGTAGCCCAGCTCAAATTGGGTTGGCATTTATGCACATATAATTAGGAAAATGTACCTTCAACTATGTGTATAGGGCCCTAAGAAATACACAACCAACTTAGAAAAACAACAAACTTTCAGGGTTTAATTCAACTGCATGAGCAAACTGCAGACATATTCAACTCCTGTTCAGACTGGTTCCCAAAAAATCAACCCACCAGAGCTCTCAGGATATTCAGTTACAAGTATTACTTCATTAGAACAAACTCATCCTTTGTACAAGCATTTTAAAACACAGAAGTGCTTATTATCATTGGCTTATGTTCTGAAGTCAGGACATTGTCACCTAGTAACTACAGGGAGCAGTTAGTTTTTTCTATAAACATGTAGTTTCATGGATTCATAGATTTTAAGATGAAAAGGGACCAACAGATAATCTAGTCTGACCTCCTCTACAACAGAAGCCACAGAATTTCACCTACTTACTGCTATATTGAGCTCAATAACTTGTGTTTGACTAAAGCATAGATTCCAGAAAGATATCCAGTCTTGATTTCAAGACATCAAGGGATGAAGAATCCACCAGTTCCTTGGGTAGTTTGTTGCAATAGTTAATCACCCTCATTGTAAAAATACAACTTTATTTCCAATTTTAATTTGTCTGGCTTGGTTTGCCAACAAAAGCTTGGTTTTTTACTTGTGGCAGCTGGTAACTGTATGGTCAGCCACTTCCTACTGGGAGGCTAACTTTATATGCATATTTTGTATAATTCTTGTATTCTTTATATTAAGAATGTAATGATCATGGACAAGTCATTAATCTCTCAGTGCCCCTGTTCCCCTCCATCTTTTGCCAGTTTTGTCTAGATTATACAATTTTTGGTGGCAGAGACTGTCTCATACTGGGTGTATGTAAAGATTGGGGCTTCTAGACACTAGTATAATATAAATAAGGATGAAATTTTGGGCCCAATTCCCACTGCAGTTATGCCATTAATTTCAAAGGCAGTAGGAAAAGACCCTTTGTCATCAACACTAATTTTGAAATTAGGTGGTAACTAGCATTCATAGATCTATTTTACTTTGTTTGCTATTGACAAAATTTTAGGATGTAAAAGCTGTATGAATTGGAGATAGAATATTTACAAATATAGTTATTTAGTTATATAGATTTTTTCCGTTGTGTTTATGCATGAAGTCTCTAGGTGCATTACAAAAGTTTAAAAGCACAAATCACAGTTTATCAACCTCTATATTCTGGAAAGGATGGAAAATTTATCTAACCAATCTTTCAGCATCTAGAGGACAATCTTATACTCTGGCAGTCCAACTATATGTCTAGTGGTCAAAAGAATGGTTTTGACTATGAAAAATATGCTGGTCTTAAAGTAAAGGGGGTTACTTTAAATATGTCCAGCAGCTACTGTATGGCTGTATTTGTTACAATAACAATATAGTATCCGTATTGCTTCTTGCTGTTGTTGGAAGCACATATTGACCACAGAAAATAAAATAATGAAGCCTTTCTGGGATAGCCTTCCTTCTACTTGAAATTTCCATCTGCTTATTTGGTGTTAACAATGGATAACGGAATATTTTAAAATAATCTGTTTTTATTGCTAACTTTTTGTCTGTAGAGAAAATAACATGTTCGTAAAAAGGGTTCTCATCTAGTTTATTTACTCCATCTTTCCTTCTTTGACTTTTATGTACTCTTCATATTTGTTTCCATTAAAAGGAAATCTGATGTGCATTAGAGCGTTATAGAGATAGGGAGTGAATCTCATGGACTAGAGCGAATTTCCTTAAAATACTAATAAGGGATTCTGGTCCTTATTATGACTTCAGATTTTCTCCTTAGTGACCACACTACCAATATTGTCAACATTCCTGTACTATGAAATCTGGAACCATGGAACCAGCAGAAGCAATAAAATAGGTATGATATATGTTTAGCATACATATCTTTAGAGCTGACTAACAAGAATGTTTTACCTAAAAGTGATCCTCCTGCCCTGAACTTTTGGGTTTGAATAAAATGAGATCAAAATTCAAACCATCCCTGGCTTTATTTTTATGAAACTACACAATTTTGTCTATCTCTAATAACAGTATGATAAACTGTGTGTCACCTCTGTTCCCTCTCCCTCTAGACTTTTCTCTTTTTCTTTTATTTTTGGAGCCACCAGCGGTCCCTTTAGAATTGTAGTTTAGTTCTCCTGTCAGGGATGTCATCTTTGTCTCTCTAAAACTTTGCTTTTGTTTTTTGCTTACCTCCATGTAAAATATATCCAGTCTGACACCCCGTGCCCATCTCGCACACTCCATATTTGGAGACTTAGAAAATCCACTGTAGTAAGGGAATGTGGTGAAAACTGCACTACTGTCTACCAGGCAACTCTCTCTCTCAAGCAATCACTTTAATGTATCCTTAAAGATTCCACTACTATTATGGTGACCTTCATTTAAAACTATCAGTGTTTCTTGGTCCTTTGTGTGGTCAAATTGAGACGGGTTTGTTACTGTAGTGTGTTGTATTTTTGAAAATTCAGATCACATTGACATTGTAAAAGTTTAGAATTCTTAAATAAATAACTGCAGGAACCCAGACATAGTGCTGTGCCAGCATCAAGAAGACAGATGGTATTATGGTTAAAGCAGTGATACTCAGACTGAGGCTCACGAGCCACAAGTAGCTCTTTAATGTGTCTCCTGTTGCTTTTTGCAGCACATGATATTAAAATACTGTGTGATTTAATCATTAACCTAAGTTATTAAGCAATCAAGTTGCTTTTACTATGTTATTAACCAGTTAAATTATCAGCTTGCATTAAGTTATTAACTTATTTGCTGTGGGAATTAGATAGATAGATAGATAGAACTACAGTAAATGAAACAATGAATTCACACTACTGTGGTTCTTTAGGGTAATGTTGATCGCTAATTTGGCTCCTGAACCACTGAGGTCTGAGTATCACTGGTTTAAAGCATGGGACTGGATACTGAGAGATCTGGGTTCTATTTCTGGTTGTGCCACAGACTTCCTGTGGGTAATTAGGTAAGTCACTTAACTCTGTCTCGTTTTCCTCATCTGTAAAATGCAGCTAATAGTTCTATAATGGGTAAGGTCGAAAGCATTCTACAAATACTCATATATCCTCTGATGGAAGTTCATATATCATTACAAGAGGTTATAATGAAAGGAGCAAAACAGTGATGCTCCTTATTCAGTCTTAATGTAGTTTGCTATTCATTCCAAGCAACTAAGACTCACAGGGTTTGACTCAAAGAGTTGTAAGGGATTTTGTTTAAAGATTCAAAATAACTTCTTTTTTTTTAAAAGAAAAATCGAGTTCTCTTTGTAAGAGTGTGAAGAAGGTGGTTTTATGACATTTAATCCCTGATAATTGTTGCAAAGGATTTAATTTTTTTCACTCACTGTTTGTTTTGGAGAACTGCCCTGAAGTCTCTTGGTGCTCCCATTTCCTGTAACCTTTGTCTTGTTTTATAGTTTTTATACATTGTTATGATAGAATTAATGAAAAATACTATTTTTAAAATCCCTACTTTTGCATATTTTACTCTAATCTCCCATGTGCCCTGTATGTAAAAAATACTGTAGTCCAGCTAAATGGCAGTTCTATAAATGTACTTGTAACCTATAAATCCCAGTGAAAGTGTTGAAATTGGGATGGCGCACACTGTGCCGTGAAGGATTATGTTTACCTGCATTTCAATTATTGTGCCATGCCTCCCAGGCTGATATATTACAACTGCACTTTCTACTACTGGTAGAAACTACTGAGAGTTTTTAAAACACTAAAAATACTGACAATTAAATATTTGCCTTTGTTATTCTGTATAAAAAAAAGTGAGGGGAGGGTTATGGCTGAAATCCCCACCTGCAGTTAGCTAATTTTTTTTTAGGTTTTAGATCAAATTTTTTAAAACAAAAATAGTTCTTTAATCTCTCCATAGGTTTACACACCAAGGTAAACTTTTTAAAAAACTTTACTTTTTAATATTTTAGTTTATAATTATCTTCTACATAATTATACACACTAAAATTTAATTATTATGCAATCAGAGAGCAGGCAACATTGAGCAGATCATACATGTTTAAAAATTATCCCAACAAAAATAACTTAATTAGAGTCTGTAACGTTTGTACTGCAGTTGTGTCCCTAATTTTTCAAACTCTAACCTGCTGCCAAATTTTGGAGAACAGCAGATGAGCCAAAGATAAATCAGAATGCTCTGTACTATTAGCTGCAAAAGAATGATCATAGTTCTAAAACTCCTACACTTATATCGTTTAGTACTATTATCTCTACAGGATTGTACCACAATAAAAAAACTAAAATCACAGGAAGAGCAGCATCAAACTAAAATTTGAGCACACCGTGCTGCAAGTGTAAGAAAGTGGAGTATGTGTTTCAGATCTCTTTTGTGCCCAGTCCACAGAGGTTATGAGTCTGTGACAACTCCACCTAAAAACCTTTGGCTCTTTAGACTAAGTTGGAGCAGCAGCTCATGCTTTTACCTCTGGAGGTCTCTTGTTGACTCCCTGGTGTGTCAGCCAAGATAGCAGTCGTCACACAAGCTGTTCTCGTTTTCTCATCTACGTAAATCCCAACTTGCACAAGCCCCAATACTGTAAACACTTATGCACATGATGCACATAGTAGTCCAACATGGGACTATTCATGGTAGTTGCAGTGGCGTAGCCAGGTGGAGCGAACAGGAGGGGCGGACATAAAAAAAGGTGCCACCCGCTGCTGCGCTTGTACTCAGTGGGCGGCGCTCCAGGTCTTCGGCGGTGGGTCCTTCACTCGCTCCCGGTCTTCGGCGGCACTGAAGGTCCCGCCGCTGAAATGCCGCTGAAGACCCGGAGCGAGTGAAGGACCCACCGCCGAAGTGCCGCCGAAGACCTGGAGCGCCGCCCAGTGAGTACAAGCGCCGTAGCAGGTGGTGCCTTTTTTTATGTTCGCCCTGCCGTTCAGAGTAAAAATTAAAAAGGCGTCACTTGTGCTCAGTGGGGGAGTGGCCGCTCCACCTGCTCCCCCCCCCCCCCAGCTATGCTACTGGGTAGTTTACAGGCTCGGGCCACAAAGAACAAGGTTTGTTTGACTTCAATGTAAAAGTACACAAATGCTAAGCCCTTAGATTCAGTAAGGCCTCAAATTTCTAAGTCAATTTCCATTGTTCACTCATTCTGTATTAATTTTTGTGGTTGAATCTTCAACAAAGACATATTCTTATCTTATATAGAGTAACTCCTCACTTAACGTTGTAGTTATGTTCCTGAAAAATGCAACTTTAAGCAAAACGATGTTAAGCAAATCCAATTTCCCCATAAGAATTAATGTAAATGAGGGGGTTAGGTTCCAGGGAAATTTTTTTCACCAGACAAAAGACTATATTATATATATACACACACACACACACACACACACAGAGTA